CAGGGCCATTTGTTACACTGCCACTAATCTCTACATAGAAGGTTTCTGATAGTAGTCTAACTCAGACTCAGTGGCAACAGACAGCAACCACTTATTATCTTGGTTTCCTTTTGTTAGCAAATGTTTTTCTTGGTTGTTTTTTCAGCATGTGTAATATAGCTGTTGCAGATTATGTGATTATTTTTAACTGAGGATTTAAAAGATTCTTCAAAGTACATGTTTTCAGTTTGTTTGATTGTTTGAAAGAATAATTAACAAAAAAAAGTTTAAGCTATCTCTAGAGATTTAGATTAATAAAAGAATATACTAGGGAACAAATATTCTTTTCTAAGTACTTGACATTTTCATTTTCATTAGTTCTGCTTTGAGTATTTCCTTATTTAAAAGCATGCTCCCATGTTTTTTATGCTACTTCTGAATAAAATAACTACTTATTCATTTTTCTACTTTAACTTAAAAGCTTCTGGTAGTCTTCACTACTCTTATAAATCCAGTGGTTCTTCACTATTAATCTCTTCCACCTTCCTCTTTCACACTGCATTCCCACTTAATTTTGCAACCATATCCATCTACTCTTGGTCATCCTGTTACTATAACATACTAATTTAGTTTTTCATTTTTTCAGATTGTTACCTTTTGCTGGAATGTCCTTTGTTTTTCCTTTAAGACCCAATTCAGATATCACTATATCTGTGAATATCATTCAGAATTAGTTTCTCTCCCTTATTTTCATAGGCTCTGTTTATATTGCTGTTGTCATAGAATGTAGTTTTAAGAATGGTAAACTTCAGCCATAGGGATTTTTTATACTTAACATTTGGTCACTTAGTGGACACACCCTGAACTCCACACACTTTTTATAATCCTCCCCTTTGGGACACATGACCGGATACTGGGGTCAGATGCTTTCCATTTCATGTTATGCTGTCACATTGCCACAATTTGCATGGTGTGCTCATGAGCATTCATAGTCAGTTTGCATTATTCACATTAATAATGTTCTATAAAGCCAGAGTGAATACTTATCTCCTGGAAAAACCACATATTAGGTAACACACTTATTTTCTCCATAGAGCACATTAAGATCTTCCTGAACTTAAGTAGACTGCATTTCTGAACTATGATGAGAGTCACTTTAAACAGAAAAAAGAAAACCTAAAACACACGCACACAAATAAAATGGCACTAAATGTACTGCAGAAAGAATGCCTGTTTCCAGTCACTGAAATACTCTACTTCTGCTGGAATGTGTGCACCGTGCAGTTCAATTATTTCTCTGCTCTATATCTGTCCATGAGTGCACATCAGAAATGATACACAGGAAAAAAAAATTATACACATGCTTACTGTGGGTTTACAAATAAATATTAGCAAATGACTCAGTTTGCAAACACAGAACCCATGAGTAATGACAATTAACTATATATATATATCTATATATATATATATTTTTTAGACATGGATATTATTAGAAATTACTTTGCATTTAAAAATCTAAAAACTCTTGGAAGCTTACTGATAGAAATTCCATGACATAATATCCTGGTGACCCTTATGTGAGATCAGAGTAGAATGGAATCTCTCCCTATTCATTTAAACTTTGTGTTACACCTGTTTATAAACTCATCTTAGAGAGAGGACTTAGAGGAACTCCAAAAACTGATAAATTTGGATATAGAAAATAATACCCTCTTTACTCAGACATTGGCAAAATTTTCAGTATTTTTTCAAGATCATTTGTAATATTGGGTATTCTTTGAATAAACAACAGCATTGCTATGTAAATGATTAAGTTTCTAAGAAAAATGTGACATTAAGTCTTGTAAGTCATTTTCTAGTGAGTCTTTCAGTTACCCACTCTGGGAGGTTTTTTATCTAGGTGGAATACAGTGCTGCTGAGTCTGATGTATGATGTTCTTTCTGTGTCCAGAGAGCTGAGCCAGTTTCTAACTCTGCTGTGGACAGCATCTGCCTGTGGGTCCCAGGGCACTGGCAGGTGGAGATGTTTTACAGCTGAGGGGAAAGAAGAGTCTCTTGCATGTCCCATTTTCATGCCTGTCCTTTATTATCCTGGGGGTGGAAGGGCATGAATGTGGTATGGTGTTCTGTTTTGCTTTGTTTTTATTCTGATTTATTTACAGAGTTTGACTACATTCTTTTTCACAAAAGGTCTTTTCCATCTTTTGTAAAAAGCATGAATATGTTTTGATGGTATTTGGATATATGAAGTGGAAATAATTGTCATTTGATTGGTTAAAAGAAAGCTGCTGCGCTCTTCTTTACCTGCCTACAACTTCAGATATTGTCAGAAAAACATGAAAGATTTAACAAATCACATATTATCACTTTATTACTGCTGAGGACTTGATAATGCATTTTTTGTTGTTGTTCGAAGTTAGATCAGTTTGAAAGCATCTGAAACAAGCTCATACAGCACGGTTCCCGTACAAATAATATCATTTTAAATAATCCTTCATTGCTCAAGATTTCATTATAATGGAATTTTTTTGTATTGTTAATTTATCAGCACTAAATTGGTTCTATAGTCATACTTCATTCTTTAGAGAATGTTAATGCTAGATTTTATTAGTCATTATTAAGGAGTCCAGGCAATTAGAGTGATACTGATATCCACACTCAAAACATGGAATAAAAAGACTTTGGCCATTTCTGTTGCATTAGGAATTAGAATAGAAATGAAAACTGATCTTTATAAAGATGATTGTTGTTCCTGGTTACTGTAGAGTTAATTCCAACTCATGACCACCCAAGAGTTGAACTCCATGAGGTTATTTGGAACTGGACTGCCAGACCTGTCTTCTGTGGTACCTTTGAGTAGTATCACAGTCTTTCACCTAGTAGAGCACTTGACCATTTGTGCCACCCAAGAGCTACATTTATTAGATCAGTGCCATTGACTCATAAGTGACCTCCAGCAGGTTTTTGGAGACTCTTAATTGCATGGGAAGAAATTCTTCATCTTCTCACACAAAGCTGCTGGTTAACTTTTAGGTTAACAGCAGAACTCCATGCAAGCTATGCCGCCAGAATTCCTTCATTTACTGTTGTTATTATTTTTGTGTGCTATCAAATTAGAACTGACTCATAGCTGATGTTTCAGAGGCTATAAATTGCAGGGAAGGAGATTGCCCATCTCTCTCCCACGTATTTACATAGTACTATCTGAGAAAATCGTTTTATTGACCTTTAGTTGTTGAAATGCACGTGAAGAATATGACAACTCAGTTCATCTTTGCAAAAACTTTTACATTTCCATCCCAAGCTAAATTAATTTTTTGCATGTGTGATCTTTATTTTTTTAAGAATTTGTCATACGTTTTAATAATGTCCTGAGTTTTGCACTAACTGATTAACCTAAGTGAATCCCCTTGGAATCAAGATGCAACATACTCTTTCTATCCTGTATTCAAAGCTAAAGGGAACTCTGGTGGCTTGGTGGTAAGGAGTCACCCTCCCAACCCAGAGGCAGAGCATTTGAACCCATTAGCTGCTCTGAGGGGAAAAGATGGGCCATATACTCCTGTGTGATTGACTGTCTCTGAAAACCCACTGAGGCCCAACTGTGAGTTAGTTCTGACTCAGTTGTATATAACAATTCAAAGGAGCCTTGTGGGTGTGGTGGTTAACCTCTCTACTGTTAACCAAGAGGCTAGCAGTTCAAACCCATTTGCTACTCGGTGGCTAAAAGATATGGCAGTCTGCATCCATAAAGATTTCCTGCTTTTAGAAACCATGTTTCCGTGCTTGCTTCGGCAGCACATATACTAAAATTGGAACGATAAGAAAAAAAAAAAAAGAAACCGTGTTTCCTGTAAGGTTGCTATGAATCAGAATTAACTCAGTAACAATGGAAATTGGAACTCAAAGCTTTTACTTTTACTTAAATATGTGATAAATTTACTTGATAAAAGTAAAATGATACTCTTAGCTTACTACTTGAATTACTAGTAACGTTTTCAACTTAGAGATGGTTGCTTCTTAACTGTTTGTTTTATGTCTTTAATCTCTGTGAAGTGAACCAACTAATACTATGAGAAAATAGTATCAAATTTTATTACATAACTTCCTTTGCTGTGTGTTCTTCACACAATTGTAATATAACCATTCACTGCTTAGTGTTACTTTTCAAACATCTAGTAACCCCTGCTTTTATTTGTGGTCCCCAAGGTTGCCTTCAGAATTATGACCACTACAGTCTTTGAGGGTCCATACTTAGGCTAGCCTTGCTGTTATTGTCTTGAAACCCTTATATTTTGAACAAGGCACTCTCCATCTCTCTTTGTATTGGACCCTGCAACTGTATAGACAACCTTGATCCTTAGGAACTGCATGTCATAATAGACTACACTACACATTCAGCCACAATTTTCCTGTGTCAACCAAGACTTCAAAGTGCTTTTTCACTGTCCAGTTATGGTTGATGAAATGTCACTGGGATTCAGGACCTGAACTTGTAAAGTGTTTGCATATTTGAATGATTAGAATAGGGAATATTGTGGATTCATTCTAGAAAGTTAATCTTAGAAAACAAGGGTAGTATGTATTTGGCATAGCAGACAAATTTATTGACCCGCATAGTTGGAAACAGTGGTGCCCAGCTCAAGGAAGGGCAGCTGACTGCACTATTTTATGTATCACTCTTAATTCTGGCTCTAATCCTGCCTCCAGGATCAAGTTCCTGAAAAAGCTAATGAAACCCCTTCTGAATCTCCTATTTCAAAACTTTGACCTGTCATTTGCTTTCAGTTATCAACCAGTGCACTCGCATTTTACAAGTTCAGTCTTTTCCCATTGTAATGGCCGTGGCTAAGCCAGTTTTCTGAACCGCAGTGTAAACCAAACCTGTGGCCCTGTAAATGTCATCAACTGTAGAAATAGTAAATATTTCTGTTTGTACACACTGTATTTGAAAATTTACTTAAGAAAAAATGTAGCTGAGATAACTGGAAAGCAGGACTTAATTCATTGTGCCATTGCAGGTTATCAAGTTATGTCCAACCAGCAGCAAAACTTCCAAGGACTAGTTGGAGTTCAGCAACCCCAGAGTCAGAGCCTAGTCAGTAGCCAACCCAACAACATTGGCAATCAGATTCAAGGAGTGGTCATTCCCTATCCCTCGGTGCCATCATATCAGGTAGGTGCTGCTTTGTTGCTTTTGGTAGAGGGAATTTTAAAGAAATTAATACATAGCTCTAGTGCATCTTCTCCTCTCTCCTTTTCCTGCAAGGAAAACTGCTTGTAGAATGAACAACCTTATAATCTTCAAGTGTTTTATTAGTCATAGCAGCTTTGTATTATTGTTTTATTATTTCATTGTTTTTTATATTTTTTAAATGTAGAAAATATGCCAGGATCACATAGATATTGGAAAGTAAATTCTGTTTAATATTGTCTTTTCCATAAGCCCCCTTTGGAAGGAAAATGGGATGAAATGAAAGCTAGATGTATCAGATGGGTATCGCAAATAATGGGATACAAAGCAGATCATAAATTATTATGTATAGAATAGGAAAGAATTTTCTAGCTGGAAGCATGGCTTGAGTTTGTTTTCCCTCCCTTCTTCAGTCCTGGAAAAGGATGGATGATATGTTATATATTTAAAATACCATGAATTTTCAACTATAGTTCAAAAGCAGAAATACCCATTGCCTCATATGTAAATCACATGCCTTCATTGTAATGCTACAGTGAACCAGCCACATTTTGAAAAATCTGTTTTCACTTCCTTGCAAAACGTGTTTGTTTCATTGGTCTCGTGGTTTTCCATAGATGAGCCTAGTATTGACTCTAAAGAACACCCTTTTGCCCTCAGAAAGGAAAAAGTCTAATTAGGAAGATAAAAGATACACATATTTTATCTAAACATGTTTATATATATTGATGCTGATATACAGACCATTAACTGAGGAGATTGTTAAAGAAAACATTGAACAGGTTAAGGAAGTAAGACAGGAGTTTTTTCTGAAGGTGGAAACTTTTGACCTTAAAAGAAAATGATGGGGAAAACAAGGTATTCAAATTTTGTAAAAAAAAAAAAAAAAAGTATAAAAAAATGTAAAATAGAATATATATGAATGATTGTATGAAACAAGATGTAAATGAAAGATTATATAAAATACAATATATGTAAATGAAACATTAAGAAAAGAAAATTGACCAAAGAATAAGGAAGATTGAAGAATTAATGTCTGAATTATGGTAACTCAGCAAAATTTGATTAATAAATTATTAAATTACCGAAAGCAAATGATGGATGTATATTGATTGACATTTTTAAGGGTCAGGCAAAGAAACAATTATATTCCATATAATTTCAAAATTTTAAATTTTAATTATAAGATGGTCAAGCTTTATTCAGCACTAAGTATATGCCTATCTTTTGTGCCCTTTAGTAACAGAAAACAGCTGCGGATAAAAAATACATTATGAGAGTAGGTTATACATCTTTTCTGTCACACTTCCGTGCTTTTCACTTCTTACTCACTTCGCTTGAGACTTTGCCCTTTTGTCCATTTCCCTCATTACACAGGTTCAGTAATGAAGCAATCTTCTGACAGACCTGGGTCATTCCACCTTGTCCAGTGCATCAGGCACTGCTAGGAGTGCTGAAGACTCAGATGCATAAGATCTACTCTTCTCAGAGACTCCTAATCCAGTAATTTTTAGATAGATCAGAACATTATGATGTTGTTGTTGTTGTTGTTGTTGTTGTTGTTGTTGTTGTTACCGTATCATCAGAATCAACCCATACCTGACCCTCCAACTTTCAGAGACTATAAATCTCACAGAAGGAGATTGCCCATCTTTCTCCTAAGGAGAGTTTGGTGGATTCAAACCACATCCATTTGGGTTGGCAGTGCAACTCTTTCCCACTAAGCCACCGGCACTCCTTAGAACATTATTAATTTCCATTTAAATGGCTCAAAATATGTCTGAAAATAATCTCTGGGCTAAGATAGCTATTATCATCTCTCTATCTTTTTTTAAAATTTACTAATTATAAGTTATTTCCCCATTTTGTATAATCTTCACATTGGCTAGATAATGGTGAGAATGTCACATTGACCAGTAATGAATGACAGCCTGCCTTCATGGCTACATTTGACAGAGGAGCCAGCGATTGATAAGCTGTAAGCTAAAAAGTAAATCAGTAAGTCATCTCTACTAGAATGGGTTATTCATTCTCAAGCTGTGATCCTTCTCTCTTGTCTTGTACTTGGAATTTTGTCTTTACCACTAGTTACAAATTTATTTTGATGACTCTAATCCAGACTGAGGTGTATCATTTCTTCTGGATCTGCATGGCATACATCGTAAAACTTGCATACATTCAAAAATAAACTCAGAGTGTTACACAGCTTCAGTAGACAAAGAAGACCAAAATGTGTGTATTATAATAGAGCAGCAATTTTCTATTTGAGATAATTCAGCTAAAAGTAAAATAATTAAAGGAAGCTCTGGTAGTTCATTGGTAAGGAATTGCACTGCTTTTCCATGGGGGAAAGATAGACAGTCTCCTCCCATGCAGTTTACTGCCTTTGAAATTTGAAGGGTCAGCTGTGGATTGAGTGGATTGATTCTGTCTCCATGGTGCACAACATTAGTTGTGTTTCAAAGGGGTCTGGTTTAAATCTACCAGCTGCTGCATGAGAGAAAGCTGAGCTGTCTCATCCCATAAAGATTTACAGCCACAGAAATCCACCATGAGTGGGAATGGACTAGAAGCAGTGGATGGTGATAGTAGTATTTCAGAAGCATGTCATATAAACAAGACTTTCAAGTAATCATTAGCATATACTCACAGAACTATTATTTGTAATGGTGAAATGGTCAAAAAATGAAGCTCCACAGCCAGAGGACATAAATTCGAATTCTGCCTTTTCTGTTTACTAAAATACACATCCTTTGACAAATTATTTACCATTTCTTTAATAGGAATGAGTCAAGTTTCTTAGGGTCGATATGAAATAATACACATAAAGCACTTCTCAAGAAACAAACTCTTTGCTATATAGTTGGAACCAACTCATTACCGACCCTACAGTGGATTTTCAGAGGGTGAGGATTGCCAATCTTTCTCCCAAGGAGCTACTGTTGATTCATTTAAACCACTAGAGAGGTGCTTTGTTTCTGTTAGCAGTGCTACTTCATACAGACAAGGCCACCAGAGCACCCTATTATAAAGCACTTTGTTGTTGTATACCATCGAGTTGGAACTGTCTCTTAGCTGACTTCCATATGGGTTTTCTGAGGGTTTAAATTGCATGGGACAAAACTACCTATCTTTCACCCAAAAAGATCCATTGCACAACCTCTCTGCCTGAGATTTACTTACTCTGCCTGTGTTAGCTGCATTACTCTTCTCATGTTAAGTGGTTATCCTTATTTCTTGTTTCTTTTTAAAAAATAGCTTTTAGGGAGCTCTCGTGGCCTAGCCATAGAGTTGTGCTCAGAGGCAAACAGTTCAGCTGCCCTATGGCAAAAAGAGACAGTCTCTTCCTTTGCAATTAGCTTCCTCTAAAAACCTGCTGGAGCGTCAGCTGTGAGTTCCAACTCAGTGGTACTTAACAACAAGAACCAAAAGCAAAGTCTTGTTCAAGAAAATGGAAATGAAGTAGTAGGGCTATGACTGGCATATTAGGGAAACTTATTGGCAGTTTTTGCTTTTCCCTAACTATATATACTTAAAAGTTTATGGAGCTAGAGACATTAACATTTCTAAGGTTTTAAAGATGCATTTCCCTTTAAATTGTTTTTCAAATTTTAGGTATCACTGCCTCAAGGTTCTCAAGGAATTGCCCATCAAACTTATCAACAGCCTGTTATGTTTCCTAATCATTCTAATCAAGGATCTATATCCACAACAGGAATGCCAGTTTATTATAGTGTCATCCCACCTGGTCAGCAAAATAATTTAAGGTGAGTATTACTGAGAGATGTCAGTGTCCATGCATTCCATTTCATTTTTATCACTTTCCAGTTACATACATTACATGTTCCAGGTATTAAACAAAGTTTGTTACTGTTTTTCTTCATCTCAGCTTATAATCTGGACTGTACTACGACACAATTGTAATAGCTATCCTCATTCTTCTAGCATTCATAGAGATTCCAAAGGCCCATTATTTAAGAAATCGATGGCCCATCCTGCTTCCTACTCTTAATCAGGGAGCTCCACCAAAACCTGTCCACATGGGTAACCTTTATGGCACTTGACATACCAGTGACACAGCTTTCAGTATCACAGCAACCCCAGGTTATCTCAGTACAGAATAGAACTTAGAACAATGTTCTCCCCAAACACAATTAACAACAGTCCCAAGGGCCCCATGTCCAAGGGCCCAACCAACTTTTAAATACAAAGGCCCTGCTCACCAGGTCCTAGATTTAAATAAGAGTCTTCCAGCCCAAGGCTGATTGTTAACTAAATCAAAATGACCAAAGAGCCTACATCTCACTTTCAATTAAATCAAAACAGACTACTTTCCAAAATCCAACTGCTTCACACAGAAGGCTCCAAACACCATTTGAATCCTTAAATCTGACTGCTTTGAGAACAGCATCTCATCCGTAGTGGTATTTTGAATGCCGCCCAATCTGAGAGGCTTATCTTTAGGTACTGCATCAGACATGTGCCACCACTTCCCAGACAGGGTTTTACTGATGATTCTGTAAGCACAGTACATTGAAGCATGTTGGGGATCTCTGATTTGTTGTATAAATTTATAATTTGCTTTTTAGGTGTAACTCTTATTAATTTTGCACTTGATTTGCTACAACTGTGTGAAAAAATGGGGGGGAGATGTCTGTGAGTCACAGTGGCAAGGACTCTACTTTGAAAATCTCTGTAGTATCTTGTTTGTGGTATCTCTTTTTAGCACTTCACTGGCTTTCAGTGTTTATCTAGCCCTGAACTCTTAACCAGAGCATTCAGGTAGTTGGAGACTTCCTAGAAAAGTAGCAGAAAACTTGAAGGAATCCTAGATTATCACTAGTGTATTGGGTGTTTTGTTGTTGATTCATTCTGTGTTCTTTGAAATGAGAATATCTGGTTTTTTCTGATACTATCTATCTGATACTTTCTGATACTTCTATCAATACTTCTTCAAAACTTTACCTTTAATTTATTATTATTATTATTATTATTATTATTATTATTTACTTCACTGAATTTTAAATCTACATTTTACAAAAACAGAGAAAAATATGCATTCTGTGTCTAACACTGTTATGCATTAGAAAAGTACATAGAATGTGTTAATAATAAAAGTAGTAATTTCCACTGATAATATAATTTACATAGCACTATATTCACATAAAGGAGCTACATTTGTATATTAAATATAGAAGAACGGTAGACCTTGTCTTCAGAGATTTTTTTTTAAATGAAATGCTAAGTTTATGAATTTTAAATCATTAGAAGGTAATAAAAGACAAATATAAGAAAGGGCCATTTCAGATTAGTAAAGAAACAAAATACATATCTGGACACAAAATCTTGCTGACCAAGTGATTTGAGCCCCTACCTTCTCTTTTAATACTACCAAAATTATTTCTTCGTTACAGAAAGGATATTGTTAAGTACCAACTGTGTAACAGTTAAACCATTGTTTAATCACCTGTGTAAGCTGTTAGAGCATTCGATATAAGAAAATGGAAAACTTTCCTGGCTCACACATTGCATTGACAGTAAAAAAATTTCCAGTTTTCTCAAAATGCTTGCATTTCTGTTAACATTTGTCTTCATATTCTTCTGAAAAGAGTGTGGAAACTATGAAACACAGAATTGAGTGTGAAGTCTAAGCTCCTGTTTCCTGTTGTTTGGCATCCTATTTTAATACAGATCTTATGAATGCTGTCCATCTTGGAAGCATGTTAGTCACCTGTGGTTAGCCTCACCTCTGAAATTCTTAACACATTATCACTCATGGACCCTAACCCTGTCTGTTCTCATCTAATTGGTCTGGACATTGTCTGAAGCCTCAATGTCATTATAGCTCAGACCTCTCCAGGTGATTTTAATGACCACTGAACTAGACTCACCAGCCTTCTAGTCTTACTTTTCTTCATGAAAACTTTCCTTCATGAACACTGTTCTCTGTTAGCCATAATGATGTAGAAGTATACACATTTGCAGTAAACTTGTAATGTCTATATGCTACTAGTAGCTCTTCATCCAAGATGCAAAGTCTCAGGATAAAACTGTAACTTATTCCACATAATGATAAATCTATTTGTTAAAGTATATCACCAGCTCTTAAGAACAGGATCCTGCCTCAAAGTGTTAGATTTTTAATAGATGGGTATGATGGTCTTTAATTCCATTACTAAATTATAAGAAGAAATGAGATTTCTGTTAGTAAGAACATTTAATGAACATTATTTAGAAAATGTTTTACTTCCTTTGGGTTGCCTTAGCAGCCTCATTTTTGCAGGGGCTCCTGGTACAAAAATGCACTTTCAATTATTTTAATTTGTCATACAAGCTGTTTGTATTAGAATTATATTGTGTGTTTTGTTTAATTGTGGAGATATAACAACTGAAAAAAATTCCTTGTCCTGTCAATTTTTGTGGAAGACCTTCAAAAAGATATTGACACAGTGGCTGTAGCCATGGTCTTGAACTTATCAGATATCATCAGAATGGCACAGAGTTCAGTTCTCTTTGGCTTAAAGTCATTATAAGTCATAGTTAACTCAATGGCACCTAACAACAACAACGTACAACAGTGTACAGCTTGGTGGTTAAGGAGTTGGACTGCTAACCCTGAAGCTTTGTCTGAACTACTTTGGGCACGTTGCAAAGTGGGATCAGTCCTTGAAGAGGGACGAAATGCCTGGGAGGGTGGAGAGACAGTGCAGGAGAGGAAGACCGCGGAAGAGGAAGACTGTCGATGAGATGGATTAATTCAGTCACTGTGGTAATGGGAATAGGCTTGTCAGAGACAGTAAGATTGGCAAGAGATAGAGCAGGGTTTAGGTAAGGCAACTGAAGGGCACATAACAACAAAAACAATCTATAAGCACAGCAAAACTAGCACTCGGTTTTTTGGTGTTTTTTTTTAAGCGTCAAAAATAATGAAATCATGAAAAAGAGCACCTACTCCCTTTTCCCCCCCCCATTTTCACCTACCCATACTCTGGTTTTCCTCTTTTATTTTTTTTTTCCTTTTTTTACCTGAAAATTTCTTAGTGATGCCCTTGCCCAATTCTGTTGGATAACTCTTTTTTTTTGGATTCTGTTTCTTTCTCCTAAGCATCAAATTTTAAATTTTCAGGGTTGAAATTTTTTTGATTGTTTGCAACATTTGTTGTTGTTGTGTGGTGTGTTTGTATTTTGTGTTTGGTTTTTTGCAGTTTGTTGATTTGTTGGGTTTTCCCCCATTTACTTCTTCCATACTTGAAAATAGTTGTTCCATAACTTTAAATGAATTTTCACTTCTCTTTCTAAAACAGAATTTGTTAACACCTAGACTACATAAGTGCTAATAAAGAATGTTATAGTCAGCACTCATACATGGTTTTCACTACATTGGATTCCTCATGCAGAAGTATAACTTTTTTCCCCACTTCATTTTTCAGTATGACTAGAAAAATTCATTAGTAAAAATAATTTTTTGTTAAAAAAAAGTTAAATGAGAATGGAGAAGAGTGCCATATATTTTATATACTTAGCAAAAATGAATTCTTTATTCATGTTAATGTAAGTTATTGTCAGGTCCTTTGGTCCAACTGGGACCCAAGCCAGCCCCTAGGCAGCAGGACACAGCACTGTCCTTTCCTTACCTTCCTCCCAGACGCTCTAAGCTTGAGCCCATTGTCAAGACCCTGTGTCAGTCCACCTCATTGAAGGTTTTCACTCCTTTAGCTGACCCTTCCCTCTCCAGGGATAGTATAAGTATATAACTCTGAAGAAGAGGGACAGGTGACATTTACTTCAAAATCTACTTGTGACTCTCTGTCTCTGAGGTTTCCATTGTTGAAAAACACTCAGAATAGCTCTCCTGCATCTGTGTTTTATCTGTTAAACAGCTTTGCTTTACTTAGTTTAGATCGTGTGTGTGTGTGTGTGTGTGTGTGTGTATAAATCTATCATACATAGTCATTGTAGAAAATGTCAAAATTATATAGTAAAGATGTCAAAGTAAGTCAGGTACAGTCTTACCACCCAGAAGTACGTGGCACTCAAGTAATTTTTCAGTGTGATGTTTACATATGTATGAGCTCTTTTAAGTAAACATTATGTTTTCTACATTATTAATTACATAAATAATTCACAAGTTGTCATTTATAAAATTGAAAACATAAAAATACATTGAATAATATTCAAATTCTGCTTTATTTACCCACTGCCCTTTCTGGGAAGTGTTTATTACTTGCTTCACCTATTCAGTGGTTAGAACTTGGTGTTTGTATAACATTTTTACTACCTTTAAGTACATTTATGATTTTAGAAGAAGAGTTTGCATTAAAGTAGATTGCAAGTTTTTATTTACATCACTGGATATTTGTCTTTGTATGTGTTGAAATCTTACTATATGTTTTTTGCTGCAATTTATGTATTTTTTTTAAGTGTTGTATTTGGAGATCTCTCCACAGAATATCTAAATTTTACCATTTTAGAATAGATAGAAAATCAGCTAGAGAAAATTCTCAAAGGTGAAGCTGAGAAAATTGAGTTTTATTCTCTTGATAATAAGAAATGATTGTGGTAGCTGAATCACGGCTGTGAAGTGATAAAATATTTCTTTATAAAATGACTACGAAAATAGTTCAGTAGATTTAAATTGTGAAGAGACAAAGACTAAACGATGTCATAGGCATCAAGTGTTGGATCTTTTACTACTCTGGTGGTGGAAAAAGATAACAGAAATATGTACTTTTAAAGAACAGATATTTGGTGGTATTATGTATGGACA